CTTTGCAACACACACCAAAACACACATCTTGCAATAATCAGCTCAATTAGTGCAGGTCGTGGTGGAGAGCGGCCGAGGTGAGCGGTGGGAGGTTGTGAAAATAGGGGGTTGGCTATTAGGGGAAACGCGATCTCCATTCATCAGCGGCCGTAATAATTACCGTTTGAGAGCCAGAGCCCTCTGATCAAACTGATCCGTGGAAACAAGTGGTTTACAAACACTGTCACGGGCCAGTCAGGGGACTCACCCCGGCACTGTGCACACCCGGAGGTTCTTAGCATGAGTGCAACCAAGAGGATTTGTATTTGTATTCCCATTTTAATTGACTACTTTATTTTTGTATTTGCTCTCATATATCCTTTCTGAGGAAGTGACTTGTTGCTCCCCAATCAGATGCAGAATTAAGAGCTTATAGGAGAGAACAAACAAAGACAAAGTGAGCAGGTGTTGAATGAGACATGTCAACAGGATGAGTTTCTTCAAGTTTTCAAACGTTTTCATGTCAAAGATTTCAAAAAATCCCAATATTTAATCAATTTTAACTATAAACTTGTCCATGCTTTTATCTTCAGTAGACTCGACTACTGTAATGGTGTCTTCACAGGTCTCTCTAAAAAATCCATTAGAAAGCTGCAGCTGATTCAGAACGCCGCTGCTCGAGTCCTCACCAACACTAAGAAAGTAGATCACATCACTTCTGTTCTGGAGTCTTTACACTGGCTTCATGTGTCAAATAATTGATTTCAAAATACTGCTGCTGGTTTATAAAGCATTGAATGGTTTAGGCCCAAAAATACATTTCTGACCTCCTGCTAAATTATGAACCATCCAGATCTCTCAGGTCTTCAGGGACTGGTCAGCTTTCTGGCCCCAGAGTCAGAACTAAACATGGAGAAGCAGCGTTCAGTTGTTATGCTCCAAATATCTGGAACAAACTCCAGAAACCTGCAGGTCCGCTGCAACTCTTACTACTTTTAAATCCAGGCTGAAGACTTTTCTTTTTGCCGCTGCTTTTAATTGAAACTGAGCGGTTGTGTAACCTTAAAGAAAGGCATCAGTAAAATGGAACTATATCTTAAACTGCACTGTAACTTTTTATTCATGTACATTTTTATTCATGTACTTTTTATTAATGTATTTTTTCTTTTAATGTTTCTTTTATGATCTTTTCTTTTTAATGACTGTTTTGAAATGCCTTTGTCTGAATGTCTTTCATTTTTGTAAAGCACCTTGAATTGCCTTGTGTTGAAAGGTGCTATATAAATAAACTTGCCTTGCCTTGCCTTGCCTATATTCTGACTTATTGTTGCCATATCTGAATGCCTGTCATAGAGCAAGGTGGGATGACACACGTTGACTTTAATGAAATGTATTAGGTCAACAGATTCCACATAACTGTATCAGGTTAGTTGAAAGGAATAATATTACGTTTAAATGAAAAAAAATACATTTAATTCAAGTCAACTTTTCAGTGTATCAGTGTAGCTGCCTGTTATTCTCATACAGTGTATTATCTCATCCGAATAGCATTAATAAGACCCCGATGGAGCTCTTACAAGCAGACCCTATTTTGGTTACATCTGCCCTCATCATGCCCCATAATAGTCCAAATGACTAAGGACAGAGTAAGCTAGGGATGAGCTATAGGCCTTTATGCAACCACTGCTGACACAGAGACACATGGCACAGGGACGCAACATAATTAGTGCCAACAGTCAAAGCTTAGACTAAAAAATAAAATAAAATAAATAAAATACAGTAGTATGTCTATGTATATTTAGATTCCTGTTTCTCTAAACCTCTAAGGCCTTAAAACGCACATCTGAACGTCCTTGGATATAAAAAGAGACGATACACACCCTCAGTGGGAAATAAAGTGACCACTGTGAGTGTAGCAGCACCTCTTTCACCAGGGTGAGTGTGTGTGTGTTTTGGGCTCACTTATAGGCCTTTCAGTGTGTGTGTAAGATGGATGGAGATGATAAGTTTTATCTGAGATCGGTTTTAACAGTCACGTCTGTCAAACAGTGTTTAGGCAGCAGGCGCTCATTTTCACTCATCGGTTTCTCCGATGTTCATCAGCTGACTGAATCAAAGTCAACAGAGCAAAGGCAAGTGATTTAATGTCGCGTCTGATACATTGTGATTTATGACGCTGTATTTGTATGGATTATTATTATCTCTTATTAAATTAGGGAATACAACTCATTCATAATTAATGAAGATATATATTTTTTTCGTGTATGCATTGTATGTATAAATCGCTTCCTTGTTTTCCTCGCTATCCATTGCAGTGGAGCCCCCGGTCCCCTGACGATTACCATCAGTCAGCTTAATGCCGTAATACTCTCTGAACTGCGCTTCAGGCGAAACCCAAGTCAATGTATTAAACAAAGGGGGAACACAACACGGAAACAGGGATCAGGCTCCTCTTACGGACTCCTCATCTCTGGTGATAAACTAACTTCATAATTACACTAATAACTCATTTGCAGCAGTCCGACTCAGATGGTATAGCCCATCGGAATAGAAGGTGGTTACTTTTAATCTAAAAACCCGGAAAACGTATATGATTTTAAATATTCTGCTGATATTTACATGCAAATTATTTTTTGGAATTATATATTTATAGAGACGTTATAGAATAGAGGGCTGCAAATATATCAAATTACGCCTTTCAAATATGAAATACCATGCATTATAATCATAACCATAATAATAAAGAATAACAATAATCAAAATATGAATAATACAAATGATGTTATTTTCACATGTATGTTATTATTCTTATTCTTAGTAGCATTGTAATATTTACTTTATTTTATTTGTTCACACTGCCTACCTTTCATTTAACAAGCGTGTAGTGTGCGCGTGTGTGTCTGTGTGTGCAGTTGGAGGCAGCAGTCTCGAGTGATGTGATACTGTGTGTGGGTGTAGCTGACAATCGTATCTCTAATGAAGAGGTCCCATGGTGAAGCGATAGAAATCTACCAACTGGTCAATCTGTGGCCCAACAGTCAATAACACACATGCCCGTCCGCGTGACACACGTCCCCATACACCTGACAACACCAACATAAAACATATGACACTGTTTTCATTATGCTGCTGCCAATTTTGAGGATTTGCATCGAGCCAAAACAACCTCGTCATTTTTCATCAACAAGTATCATTTTCTCCTCTGAATTATAAAACCTATACCTTCGCCTTTTCCCCGCATCATGTTATCTTAATCATCATCACATTGAAATGATTGCTCTGCTCTTCAAACCCTATCTCCTAATCCTGCTGTGATTATGATATCTGAATCTGACTTCCATCTTCCACTATAGCTACTGTACCGAACCGTGTTAGCCAGACGACTCAAATACAGTGGTGTAAAGTAACTAAGCACATTTACTCAATTCTGAGAGACTTGTACTTTACTTGAGTATTTCAATGTTTTGCTACTTTGCTACCTCTACAATTCAGAGGTGAATTGTGTTATTTTACTCCAATACATTTATTTAATACCTTTAGTTACTTTGGACAATTGGATTAATAATGTGAAAATATTAACAACACTTAAATAAGACTTTAGTTACACCTGGAGTAAATTAACAAGCTACCCTGCAATACTAAGTCATTAAAACTAGCTGCACCTTTATAGCTTTGATAACACTTTAATGCACCTATAATTATAATCAAAATATATACTATTCTGGAATAGGCCAATCTGCATAATAAGTACTTTTTTGATGCTAATACTTTTGTACTTTTACTTGAGTAATATTTGAATGCAGGACTTTTAATTTGTAACAGAGTATTAGTACTTCTACTATTAGTTATCTGAGTTCTCCTCCCAGCTCTGATGATATCTGACTTCCATCTTCCTGCACTGTTGCACTGAACCGTGTTAGCCAGACGACTTAAATACAGATTGAATTGTTTGGCTCACCGGTGCTGCTGCTGCTCGGTTTCCTCTCCACTGTTCCCCGACACACTCTCCCTCTCTCCCTCTCTGCTCTCCCTCTCTGCAGCACCGCGAGCTGCTGCACACCTTCACATTGTCTCAGCCCTCACTGGCTCACCCCTCATTTAGATGTAAATAATAAACAGTAGCACGGTCCTACTTTACTTAATTATGGAGCAACATGTCTTCTTACAAATACATAATATCGCTTTAGGATCAGAGAAATACACAACACTATATTTATTCCGTATTTGATTAAAAAAATTGAAAAGTTAAATTAGTTATAAAGTTAATATAAACGAACTGACAGACTTAATTTCCTTTGGGAATATCCTAACGCACAGTCTTTATACATGAAATGTTAGCACATATTTTCCATATATTTCTTACTAAAATAATATATTTTCAAACGTCTAACGTTATGTTTCTTATGATATTATTATTTAAAACATAAAAAATCATAGAAAATGTTTCTAAATGCAGTTATTTTCACCATGTATCTAACGTAAGCCACCTGTAAACCCACTTTACCCAAATTCCTTGTTCCAAATTACTATAACAATGTTTACATCTTCATGTGAGCTGAAAACAAATGTATCTAACTTGTTTGGGGGTGAGAAAACGTAAACCTCTCCTCTCTCTGACATATGTAGTCTAATTTTAATTATTTATTGCTTGCCATAAGTTGGTCAGGTATTTTAGGGGGAACTTTTCCTTAATTTACTTGTTATCGCTAGACAGCTGACAGTCATTTGTCGTGTATGAAATGATAAAGTGACTGACTTTAAAGTTCCAGGTGTTGGAAACGTTGATTGATTTGTGAGAGCCGCTGGAGGCTGGAAGACAAACTGCAGCAGACTGCGCGCTCTGGCGCCATCCTTCCCCCAGCTGCGGGACCTCTCTCCCTCTCCACACCCCCTCTCCCCCAGCTCCGCGCTCTTTGGCTGCCCGAGGTGTCTGTCAAAGTGAAGGGAAAGAAAAAAAGAGTTTTAGAAGAAAAATCTGAGCAATATTGCTATTGGTAGGCGGGCTGGTCGTGAAGGGAACAATCGTGTTGACTTTGCCAGGGAGCCACCTCAAAGCATATCAGGTTACTTTGAGTGACAGCGTAACCATGGCAAATAATTTGACGAAGGCTATTGTCTTATCCTCGCCATCCCCGGGTCAGATAACCGACCAATCAGATTTCATATAATCGCTTGTCTTGCCAGCTTAGAATAATATTATTAAAACGAGCCAGCGAGCCCGGTCTCCGGGAGTAGGTTATGTTGAAACGGCATAGAAAAGGTGGAGGAGGACGGTGGAAGGAGTAGCAACTTTCTCTCTTTCTCACCAACTATCTGAGGATTTGTCGCCTGGGGTTTTGCACGGCTGAATGGACTTGAGTTTATGCCACCATACGCAGTTGGATATTACTACCTAACCTTGGGCTGTTTTAAGTTTTAGGTTGCTCTTTTGGGGACCTTTTGTCGCTTATGGACTTAATGCGTTTTGATTTAATGTGAGACTGAGAGGGGAGACGTGGAAGTAAGGCACAATATAATCTGTATTGGTTTACGTTGTCGCCATGTCCATGCTTCCGACGTTTGGTTTTACGCAGGAGCAAGTTGCGTGTGTTTGCGAAGTTCTCCAACAAGGGGGGAACATCGAGCGGCTCGGGCGCTTCCTCTGGTCCCTCCCGGCGTGTGAGCACCTCCACAAAAATGAGAGCGTCCTCAAAGCAAAAGCCGTGGTCGCTTTCCACCGGGGGAACTTCCGAGAGCTCTACAAAATCCTCGAGAGCCACCAGTTTTCTCCGCACAACCACCCGAAGCTGCAGCAGCTGTGGCTCAAAGCGCACTACATCGAGGCGGAGAAGCTGAGAGGCCGTCCGCTCGGCGCCGTGGGGAAGTACCGCGTCCGGAGAAAGTTCCCCCTGCCTCGCTCCATCTGGGACGGAGAAGAGACAAGCTACTGCTTCAAGGAGAAGAGCAGGAGCGTCCTGCGGGAGTGGTACACCCACAATCCTTACCCATCCCCGCGGGAGAAAAGAGAGCTGGCTGAGGGCACGGGACTCACCACCACGCAGGTCAGCAACTGGTTCAAAAACCGACGGCAGCGAGACCGAGCAGCGGAGGCGAAGGAAAGGTAAGAGTACTAATATTTATCAGAAAAGGGGAATCTTGTGTTTTTTTTATGCTTGTGACATTAATTAAAAAAACACAGAAAACTAATTTTTACCAGGCCAAAAACAGCTAGTTTCTGATGCTCGTATATGATTTGACCTACATCTGCAATGTATTGCATTGCGCAAATGTTCATATATTTTCGCTTCTAACTTCTTACCTAATACAGTTTAGTTTTCTTCACGCATCTGTTTCTTTAGGACAATTATATTAAAAGCAGTGACTTTTCCTTACTTTGTGTTCAGGTAACTCACGTCCTGTAGCCTACTGTTGTTTTTCATGTTTGTGATAATTATGCAGGCCGTGCGTAAAAGTTGAAAGGCAGAAAATGAAAGAGTTTTTGTCAGGTAAATGACAAGGTTATAAAAGTTGCATTTACCCCACTTTTATGTTTTAATCACACTTATTATAACATTAAATTAGACTTTCACGTAAGGATCCGAGAAAAAAAAAGTTTGAAACCTCCAGATAGCCCACTGGATTGGACACAGATAAGAAAACATCCCAGAACACGTTTAAAAGTTGTTTGTGGTGTAATTGATGTGGCACGCTGTGTAGACTCCACACCAGCCAGGTTGACATTTCATTAGGAGTCGTTGGTACATTTCAACGTTTTTAAATTACATCGTGTGGAGAGGTTTTAGTCAGGTGTTCACTTGGTCGGTGTCTTCTTTCGCCCTGTGGCCACTAATTCGGGCTGAAAGCTCCACGTAAATCATGTCTTCCCACTGAGAAAGCCTTACTCACCACTGCGAACACATGAACTACGCCATAGGCAACAAGCACACGTTCAGCAATATTTAGAGCTGTCAATTATTCACACGTACCAAAGAGCTAGCCCACTTTGATAGGCGTGTTTACCCACAGGTCACTCTGGTTAAGTTAATTTGCCTTAAACAAAGACGCTTAATGCAGGTTCAATAGTCTGATAGATGTATTGTCTGCAGTCACTGCTCTATAATGCAGCCATTTAACTTTCTGCAGTGCTGTAGTGAAATGAGCCAAGGCCTCTAATTATTTCAATGACTTACTTATTGCCTGCATCCTGGCACATGTGCTGATTGATGCTTTAATAAATCATTAGATTAAGCATTTGATCATTTATACATATTAATGATGCTATTATGGCTTCAGTAAATGTAGCTTGGCCTAATATACAACATTAGCATTGTGTGTGTGTGTGTGTGTGTGTGTGTGTGTGTGTGTGGTGTGTGTGTGTGTGTGTGTGTGTGTGTGTGTGTGTGGTGTGTGTGTGTGTGTGTGTGTGTGTGTGTGTGTGTGTGTGTGTGTGTGTGTGTGTGTGTGTGTGTGTGTGTGTGTGTGTGTGTGTGGGCCCATATTTGTTAGTTATTTCAGAATAAAGTTTATTTTGTTTTCTCAACGTTACAAATATTTATTTACAGAACATTTGCATATTAAAGTATACTCTAGTTTATATTTTGTGAAAACACTGTAGCTAGTTTCAAAATAAGTCACAGCTTGATGTAATATCTTTACAAGAGTTTGGTTGCACTTGGACCACAATAATGTGTGATTTTGTGTTGTTGTTGTCAGGGAAAACAACGAGAACTCCAACAGCAATAGTCACAACCCATTGAGTTCTTCCATGAATGGAAATAAATCTCTCCTGGGGAGCTCGGACGACGATAAAACACCCATGGGGACCCCGGATCACACGTCCCACAGCCCGGCTCTGCTCCTCGGCTCCGGTTTACAGTCCCTGCACGGCCTTGCGCCCCCGCCTGGACCCAGCGCCATCCCGGTACCCAGCGGTGTAGACTCGCTGCACCATCACCACTCAATGCACCACGACTCCATACTGAACCCTATGTCTTCTAATCTAGTGGACCTTGGCTCTTAAAAAAACTGGCACAGAAGGGGGACAAAGAGCAACCATTTTTTGGAAAAGTTATGTACGAGTTGGAGTGAGGCAAACTTCGAGCACTTGTGGCAAAGTGCAAAGCAGACGGACTGGAACACTGCGAAAAAACAGCCACTGCAACAAATCATTTATCCCATATTCAAACTTTTAAACAAGTGGGAAAATCTGCCTGAGGGTGCACCTATCTCTAAAACAAAGTTCCACTTGTTTTGTTTTTTTTAGAAACAAGTGTTAAGGCGGAGACAATTCGGAAATGTGCTTAATGCAGGTACAATTATTTTCTCTTAAATTCGTTTAAGGGAAATGTAATTCTAAAGATAAATAGAGATGATGACTTGTTAAACGGATCATGTTTGCAGTGCTGGTGCAGACAAAAGGTGAGGTGGTTCTAGGTCGTTTTAGGTAAAAAAGAAAAAAATAGAAAAAAGTATTTTACCGGAATGTACGTAACATGCTATATTGTTGAAAACAATAACAATAAAATGTCTTAATTCTTGTTACTATTACCGTTGTTATTTTAGGGGTTTAGATTTATCAGCAGACTCTGAAGGCACCGAGTTAAAGGTATACCCCATCGCCTTTTTGTTTACACGGGGTTTTCCAAGAGAAAGGGGTGGGGGGGTTGACGGGGTATAATATTCTCAAGTGTCTTATATAAGAGCCGTGATAAGAGGAAATATCCTACCTATATCTCTTGATATTATTACTATCATTTGCATTTTCATTTGGAAAGAGACTGCATGTAAACTTTGCGATAAATGATGAAACATAAAACGATTCACCTATAGTTTCATACCCTTTACAATAAAAGAAAAAGAAATACATGGATTAAAACTCGAGGATTTCTTTGATTCAGAATGACTCCTGGCATGTTTGCAGAGGTTTCTCTCTTTTGTTTTCAATGTTCAAACCATTCAAGCTGGGTGAAATTTTAGGAATATTTAAACAAAAATATTCCCACGCTGCAGGCAAATATCAATCTTTACTCAGTCATATGGTTTGTGGAATGTGTGTGTTTTATTTTTTATAATTGCTTTGCATTGGTTATTGAGGATGTTCTAATGTTTAGGTTACATTCAGTTTTCACGAATCTCACTTGGTTACAAAACTGGCATTGTTTGGTTCTAAGCAAGTCCATGCTTCCCTATGTCCTCTCCTCTGGCCTTTTGAAGGCACTGATCTACCAGTGAATGTTAGGGGGAAAGTCAAATTAGAGAGCAGTACAGTACCTAAAAATCAAGAGCTCTTAGCCTCTGTGCTTTAAGAAACTGCATATTGTCCTCTACTGTATGTGTGGGCAGTATGCAGGTTTGCACGGGTCGATATTCTGGGATTATCTACCATTTTATCATAAATGCTGCGCAGGAAGTTTTTTCTCCCCATTTCAAGACATTTTAAAGCTTGTGCCCTCGGCTTCTGCAGGTAAAATCGGTTCTAAACTTGCAGTATGGCCTTTTGTATGGGATTTTATATTATATGATTAAAATCGATTTATAATATGAGATAGTTAAAAATACAAAAGTTAATTATAATTGCATTATTTTTTTATATTCACGGTGTTTTTTAAAGTGATGATCGTCGAACTTAAGGTCAAAGTTCAGTTAAATCATCATTGCCGATGTTAAAATGACAAAACTGAAGAGGGTCTTAATATGCTGCTTTGTTAAAACAACACGAGTCAAGAGACTGTGGCATGTGGCCATTATGGGCAAAGGTGGGCGAAATTTGTACGTGCTTTTCCAACCGGGGAACCTTGATGTTGAAGTGATGACACCTTATCTCTCCGCGCTCGGCTGAGGAGAACAAAAGTGCCGTAGTGTTTGGCGCAGAGAAAAAAAAAAGAAAACACAGAACTGGAAACGGGCGCTGAAAGAAGACACTTTGTTTGAACAGCTTCAGTCGTGCAACACCTTCAGCTCCCCCCATTACTCTGCTGCCCGAGAATAAACCTAAAACAACATATTTTATTCTGTTCTTACTTTCATTACAGTATTTCCCTATTATATAGGCTACATGTGCTGGTGCTACGAGAGTGCTCTCGATGTTGGTATTTTTATACACCCCATTGTCCCATATTAAAGTTATTATGGCATGTTTTATCAGAATCGGTTTTTACTATAAGTAGGTTTACACATGGGAAGAATTTGCTTTGGTGCACATTAAAGAACGATGCAAAACGTTACTATTATGAAAACTTTTTTTTTAAACTATGAATTATGCCATATTTGTAACCTTAACATATAGCATTATTTACCCAACAGCTGATGTATGGTATACTTTGATGATATTATCGGATTGTTTTGGGGAAAATAGAAATTATGCATAATTACATTTTTTTAAATCACACTAATGAGAGCTTCAGAAATTGTATAGCATAAAGCTCATTAGATGTTTATTGGCTTCCAGGTAGATTTTTGTATTCTTAAAGCGTACGTAAACAGCAAAATAATATTATGGTGCAGGGATTATCTGATAGGAGCCAGAGCGTCTGTAATGGGAGTGTAAAAAGGAGAAGCGTACACAAAGAGTGTGTGAAGTGTCTCCCTCCTGTCTGCAAAGGCGAGGGATCAGTCGCTCCTGGTTGGGTACAGCTGCTGCTGCATGAAGGTCAATTACACATGCAGCTTAAAGCCCACAAGTTATAATTAACGAGGACTTGAGTGCATATGGGTCTGCTCAAAACAAGCCTATTACAGCGGTTTGTAAGGAGACAAAACACGGAATAGTAGCTCTCTCCCCAAACCAACTCTCTAACCCCAATAACGCTGTGATTTTCGTCTTCTCGTATTTTCTCTCTCCCATAAGGCTTCAAATGTGAACTTAAACTGGCATAGTGAGTGCGCCATATGTGCCCTCGAAGAGGGAGGCTAGTAAATGTTTGTTGGGCAAAAGATGTTAGGAAAATACGCAAGCATTGAAACAAGGCCTAATAAGGCGAGCTGGTTATAAAAGCCGATGTTGTTCTGCCAGCATGGCTTTTGGAAAAAGGGATCTGGATAAACAGACAGACAGGTGTGAACTAGTCCTGATTTCTCGTAAATAATAATCTGCTGTTTTTTTTTTTTATCATTCACCTTGGGGTGAGGATGTTGAGGAGATTAAGTGTTTAACAACTTTAGAAAAACAATCTTGTGGAAATTGGGAAACAAAAAAATGACACAATCTGCAGAGATTGTGTAAATCAAATCCATTCGCTTTTACCTGATGTCTGTTTTATTTCAGGTCTAAACAAATAAGGGGATTATTATTGTCATGGTAATAAAATCAACGTGAATTCACTAGCACCCAATGCATATTGCACATACATTTTTGAAGTTATTTTTGTGAATAAATCGTTTTAAATTGTTTCTTTATCGATTTAAATTCGGTAATAGCACAACATGAAATAATACGGAGGATTTTTATAAAACAAACTATTATTTGAAACCTGCTTCTAAAAAATGTTGCATTGTTTTATCGTATCAATTAGCAACGAACGACATTCTTCCAGGGTTATTTTGTGTGTCAGGTAAGGCAGGTTAAAGTTAGTTGCGAATAACTTGCTAAAATGAATGAACAATGACGGACATCGTATTTACAACAGCCTTTTCCCCCTTTATTTTGTTATGTTGCAGCATTTGTTTGAACTGGACTATATTTAAGTTTCGTTTAACCATGCAGGGAAACAAATTAAGAAGGAGGTAAAGCCACAGGAAGGCTATATGATTATATATTGTAACATTGTGAATTGTGTAAGACTATACGGTTATAATGTTTACGTAATTAACAAAAACGTGCATTCATTTTTTTTCTTCTTCTAATCAATCGGTATATTGCGCTGGGTTTAAATGAAGTGTTCCCTTGATATCATTGGCCAATTTAAAATGTATTCTTAAAATCTGAGATGTTACACTGGGATACCTGTTTGTGTGTGCATTCATTGATGCTATGAGGTACATTTGATTAATCGATTGTTTGAAAAAATATCATCACATGATAATAATTGATCACACGATAATAATTGATCACACTGACAGTCACTTAGAAATCAAACGATGGATTAATGTTGTCACGTTAAAAAAACGATCTCCAAAATGTATTTTTCCTTTTTGGAAAGTAAAACAACATTGTTTAATGCTAATCATAATGCATTTACTTGCATTATCCCACATTATTTTGAGCTGTCCTGAGTTTGAAAAAATGTCCCACTCTGTTGATGTACATGCCATTATTTATCTTATTTATTGAAAACAAATCGGAGGGCTTTATCAAACAGCAAGATGATAAGCATCAGATTCTCATTTAACCTGAACTTTTTAAGTGATGTTAACGCATTTGGTAGAAATGTCAAGTACAGTGATGATTGTTATAATTTGACACATCATTGGTCCCAGTGGGAAAATTGTCTTTCCACTTAGACCCCCTTCAGGGAGGTCAGAGGTCAAACTTTTATAGCAGCAGCAGCCTCAGAGCTGGAAGACATTCACCGGTTTGCTCAAGAAAACTTCAGCAGAAGAGAGAAGCTGCTTTGTGCCGGTTAAAAATGATTTCCACTGCCTAATATAACAGACAAAATGTATAGAAACTAGAACGTGTCAGTGCTTTGATTCCAGGCACTGTCCCAGTTCATTTTCACAACGTTTGAGCGCTGTGAGGATGATACAGTACACACAAAATGTATGATAAGGACTAATCACACTTGCCTAAGGTTAGTGGTTGTACTACCAAGGGTGTAAAGCAGCTGGGATTCACTGATACACTGTGAATGCAAAGTGGAAACTGAGTCAGACAACAGAGTGGAGTGTCCACTTGTTGCACTGTCGCTAGCATTTATGCTCACTTTTTACAGCAGGCTTCCAGAGAAAACACAGAAAGGTGCGTACCACTTTATTTCACCCTTTATATGTTTAAGTATTCAATTACATGCATGCCCTTTTACTATTATGGTACCATTGTATCTTGCAAATAACCCTGAATGTGTCTCTTTTATCACATGTACTGATTTGAACTGCATCATCCTCAGTTGGTGAAAAGACAAACTCTTCCCTCTCCTCTCGTTGTAGGTAACGGCAGAATGCTCATCAACACAGATGAAACTCTCCTGTGAAATGCAGATTACATGCAGAATTCTTAAAATCCATTGTAGTATCTTAAAACTGGATTGTGAAAGATCTGCTGGAAAGTTAACATCATGATCTAACAGGTAAAAAAAAAACTGAATTCACAAACTGTACTTTTTGCCATAGATCATTTTACCAGAAAAGGTTATATTTCTGTATCAAACAGTATAGTATATTTTTTTAAGTATGTTTAAATTGTGGATTCCTATGAATTATTTTGAATAGTTTCAGTAGTTCCAGTATGAAATAAACCCCCAATATACGGTGTAGAAGGCCAACTGATTTAACATGGATTACCATATAAATGAAAAGTATTCTCAGTCTGTTTCTGATACAGTCTTGCTGACAGGCAGCACGGGGTCACTGCTTTCCGGCAGAGATTAAATGATGTACAAAGAGCCAGAACACCCACACAGACACAGGAATAATATAACATGTCATCTGTAGTATGAAGGTGGTTTGAATTACAGGATTCCTCTTTTTTAAGGCCTCGCCCAAAGGCACAAAGAAAAACTCAAACACAAGCTGACCTGGGAGTAAAATGTAAACATTAAACACAATCCGATGTTAAAACACACAAGCTGTTATCCCTTATACTCATAGAGCACTGTTTTTCCAAAGCGATCTCTGTAACCAAAGCAGTCTATTTTTATGACAAACAAAATGTTTTTAATTATTCAATTAGGGAAAATACCTGTAGTTCAAATGGGTCTCATATAACAAATTTGTCCTGATAAGCCTAACTAACCATTATTAAATGAATAAAAAGTAACTATTTTGCCATTTTAAATATAGATATATAAGACATTTCACTTTCTCAACACGTAAAGCACATTTTTACAACGCTCTGAGGTGGTGTGTTTATAGACGAGCACATTGATTTCCTTAGCCATTATGCATTTTTGGTGTATCAGGTGTGTCCCATAAAACAGGATAAAACAGTAGGGAGGGGGTTGGGTAGTGAGGAGGAGGAGGAGGAGGCGGAGGAGGAGGGGGGGGGGCACGGTGTAGAGTTACGGTCAAAAAAGAGAGAGAGGGATGGCCAGGGGAGTACGAGCATTAATGCACTCCCTGTGCGCTGGACGCGTACTGTTACAAAACACACACTCTCACAAATACATAAGCACACTGCGGGTGACCTCTGCCTGAGTGAAAGGTCACCTGGCAGACCCCGTACGGACCTCCATCGCTGCGGCCCACTCCCGAGACAAGGAGAGACATTAGAATTAAGCATTAAACTCTTTTAGCTTCTTTATTTTAAACTACTTTGAGTCGCCTATACGGTGAATAAACGGTACACACACATTAATAACTGGTCATACGGACATGTTCAAGTTTGTATGTGTTTATGTAGTGTTAGTGTA